GTATATAAATCTTCAACTGCGATCAAATATCCAGTTGAAAATATATTTATATATATAAGCATTTTTCTATCTTGGGTCATCTAGTGTATTGTTTATGATTAAACATAAGGATTTAATACATAGTAAGTATGCATGCTACTATAACCGTAATTTAGGCTACTAAGCATAAGTATAGATGGACTTGCTTCTGAGTAAATACACCAAAAATCCAGAAGAAAAAATTGGATTCTAATATCTACTACTAAAATTCCTGAACCAGAAACAATTCAACTTGTTCCCCCCACTCACCCCTGCTGCCCTTGCCCAGCCTCCAACTGTACAGAAGTCGGAACAACAGAATAGATTGAAAGGTACAGAACAATGGCTAAGGTAGCATGATGCAGTCACTGATTACATCAGAGGCTGAAGAGGCCTAGGGTTCAGCCAGTACAGCCACAACCTGATCACAACCTACACACATACACACAGTCTGCAGGAAAGCTTCCTTAATTGCAACTCACAATGCATCATAGGAAAAGAACAAGAAGAAATACAATGCACTGTCTACAGGATTAGTTTCCACTTGTCTTAAATGTGAAATGTTACCTTTTTATAAACCATTATCTTGGTTTCTTGTATTTCAACTTCTGCGAGTGAATTAAACATTACTTTTCCCCCCCCCCACTTAAATCAGCAGCTAACACAATACAGAAAGATCAGAAAAATCTGTCTGTAACTATCCCTTTTTCTTTCTTAAAAATGTTTCCTGCTCAATTACATCTCTGAATTCTGACCAGCAGAGAGCTGATGGGTCAGAAGGAGATTCATAAGCCACAGGAGAGAACTCCTGAACACCCCGAAGGCTACTGCCTCCCTTTTCAGGGTAATCAGCTAAGATCTGCTAGGTCAGCTTCACTAATCTGCTATGCAAAGGCTAACTCTAAAAGCCATCTTTACATGTTCAAAGTGGAACTCTAGTGTGAAACTCGAGGGCTTGCAAACTGAACGCTACTTGCCTTCCTTTTGCCTTTTTAAGAAACCCTTTCCATCACACAGAGTACAGACTTTGGAATTTTCTCCAATCAAGCTTGTACTTTCCATTCTGAGCAGACAGACACTAGCCTATAGCCCAAGCATATCCTTTGGATGCAAACTAAGCAGAGTGAAGTAGCAACAGCCACTACTATAATTTGTATGAATATGTATTCACTGCACAGAACAGTGTGAAGCATTTTCTCTCTCAGGACTCTGATGTGTCATCTTTCAATCTACCTGAGCTATCACGCCTTAAAATGCCAGACGTAGCAAGATCTCAAACTACAAGAAATATATATTAATATTTCTGGACACCCCACTGACCCCCCAAAGATAGGGTCTTTTTGTTTCATAACTTTTCCAATTAAGTAAACTGATTTCATTTTTCTATTTGAACGACACTGACATAAATGTTACAGATCCCACTTAGATTTCCTTGCCTGAACCCATTCATCACATTGCATATATGTGGAAGACCCAAAACGACATATGAGCCAAGACAACAGGAAATAGCAAAGAAAGTGGCTAGGGAAACATTGAGATAAAAGGGTGGGGTGGAGAAGGCATTATTCTGTAAAAACAATAAGACAACAACACACTGGGAGACTATATCTATCTATCTATCTATCTATCTATCTATCTATCTATCTATCTATCTATC